GCCGCGTCAATGACAATAGAGGTAACTTTTTTTATTAGTTTAAATTTTATAGGCAATTTGTTCAAAAATTAATTTTAGCGACATAAAAAATTAATTTCAACTAAGGATTAAGGGATTGTAGTGAAATTTCAAAATCTTACTATCCTTAACTAATATAAATTAATTACAGTGATCCTTGAATGATAATTTTTTTCTTTTTTATTTTTAAACTAGAGTGTTAAACTCAAGATAAACAACCTTATGACCTGCATAAATTTTGAGTATTATTTTTTTGTTGTTTTTTTTTTCATATTTCGAGGTAAAGGGCAAATTTATGTAATTTCAATATGATTGAAAACCATTTGAGGTCAATAAAAAATGGTCTGTGCAGGTCTATCTAACCCCTAAAATTTTTTTAATATAACTTGATATTTGTTTTACCGGATGTTTTTGTGTAAACTTTTAAAATTAAATAAAAAAGTTTGTTTCATTCTAACGAAATTTAACAATATCAAATTTAAGTAAACTCCATGATATTGTTAGGGCCGGCAAAAAGATGAAAAAAGCAGGAGCAAAAATAAAATAAATCAAAATGACAAGACAAATATTTCTTATAAAAAATTAAATAGAAGAAGCGAATTGACATGCAAGCTTCCACTTTTCTTTAGTGGGTCAAGCACCTGCACTTTGGAGGGAGGGCAAAAGCGTAAGTGGGTGAGTTGACTAGACTACTAGAGAGGGCAGAGTCCACTTATGTCAAGTTTTCTACTCAAGTAGCCGAGGTTTGGGCTCCATCAACTCAAGGAACAAAAGCTTCCTGCTTAATGTCGCGACCTGTTTGAAACTTATTCTGAAAATAACTTTTTATTTTTTAAAATAAAAAAATAAATAAATTTATTTGATAACATGTTTTTAAAAAATATTTTAAAAAATAAAAAAATATTATTTTAAAAAATAAAAAAATAAAAACAACTTTTAAATATTTTATGATTATTATTTTGCAGAATAAGAGAGAATAAAAAAATATCTATTTTTATTATTTTTTATTTTCAAAACATGCTCTATAAAACACTAATTTTTAAAATAATAAAATAAAAATAATTTTAACTAGTCCCTATTTCTCATCCATATTTCTTTTATTTTTCTTCAGTTTCAAATTAACCTTTCCTTCATTTATGAATTACGAATCCTCCCTTTGCATTGCTCAACCATATTTCTTTTGTTTTTCTTCAGTTTCAAATTAACCTTTCCTTCATTTATGAATTACGAATCCGCCCTTTGCATTTCTCAAACAATAACATACATATATTATATATGTATGTATGTATGTATGTATGTTTGCATGTATATAATATTCTCAAAAAATAGATGTCATTTGCCTTATATCTTTATTGATTTAGATCTTTTTAATTTTATATGGTTATCACGCCATAGCAGATTCAAATCTTGTCAGTTTAATTGTTACTTTAGCTATTCTAAATCAGTTTAGTTGACAAAAAAAACCTAAATCAGATTTAAGGTGTTTACATCTTACTTTTTAACTATTAACTTAGAATAAATAATGATTTCAATTAAAAATAAAAATTTAAAATATAAATGATTCATTTCAAATTCAAGCTTAAGGAATAATTTTTTTGGCGAATGAATAAATTATATCAGTCAATATACAATTTGGACTTTGAGCAAGAGGTCTAAGGGCGATTTAAACCCTATACTATTAATTGATATATTTTGAATCCTAAACAATTAAACTCGTGCATTATCGCTTCTATTGTTAATTTGAAAGTAACGGCCGCTATTTTTTAAACATATGGCAGATAAAGAATTTGGGTCCCATTATGTTTCAAAAGTAATGACCATTCGTTTAAAATTAATGATAGGGGTGATGATGCACTAACTTTAGTTATTTAAAATTTAAAATATATCAATTATGAATATAAAATTTAAATCGCTCTAGTACTTATAATTCAAGGTCTGACTTATATAGTAACCTTAAATTAGATCATTCGGTAGAGCAATATAGTTAAAAATAACATAACTTTTTTGTCTTCCATAAAAACAAACATTTAGATCATTTAGATTTTCAGGAAGACAACTTTTTTCAAAAAGATAAAAAGGACGAACAATTTGCTTAATTATTCATATGACCTTGAATAAGGAGAATCTTAACCCTTAAGAAAAATATTTAGGTAGATTAGCTACACCATATTATTTATAGTCTGTCCAATTAAAATACTTCAAGTAATCTAAATAAAATCTTTTGTAATATTTTTTAAATTGATTTTATTTTTACAATGGAAGCGTACTTGATTTCTTACCTTTTTTCTTTTTGCTATCATTAATATCAAAATTAATTTATATTTAATATTATCTAAATGTCATGTTTTTATTAGACAGATCACAAATGATATAGTGCACCCGATCTATTTAAATATTTCTGTAACTCTTAATTTGCTTAATAAAAATCTGATATAAAAAGATGAGCTAGTTATGCTCTTTGTTTTAAAGAAAAATTAATAATTTAATCTTTAAAATTTTAACTCAGTTATAACTCAATTCTTGAATTTTGACTCATTATAATTTAGTTGTAATTTAATTTTTGAACTTTGACTGCAACTCAATCTCTATAGTTTTAGCCAATTAAAATATTGCTCCCGATATTTTAAAAAATAAAATCATAAAGATTAAAATTATGAAAATCATAAAGATTAAAATTATGTTAAAATTTAGGACTAATATTTTTAATCACTAAACCCTTTTAATCTTTATAAAAATTATAAAGAATAAACTTTTAAAATGGTTTTAAGATTTACAATTTTATTTTTTAAAATATAAGGACTAATATTTAAATAGTTTAAAACTATAAGAATTGAGTTTCAAAAATTATAGTTTAGGATTGAGTTACGATTGAATCAAAACTATAAAAATTGAGTTACAATGAATTAAAGTTTAGGAATTAAGTTATAATGAATTAAATCACCCCCTCCTTAAACTAAAGTTTTACATGAAGCAGAGATCTTCCATCAAGATATAACATATTAATAAAATGTTCTAACATGAACTCTTCACTCGTGATTTTTTTCATGGAAGAACTTGGTGCGGGCTCTTTTTGGGCGGGATACTGATTTCTTTTTTGGACAGAGTGAGTGGGATACTAATCAAGGAAGCATGTTTTCTTAATAATGAAAATATTATAATCTAAGGATGAATTTGATTAATATTATCATAGGGACATAGCGATTAGTTGGGGATCAAACAAATTAAACCATGGTGATTGGCACGCTTTCAAACAAACCAACAGAGACTAGGAATTTGGTCCTTGTTCTCATAACAAGTTATCCTATGCAGCAAGGGACTTGGACTAAAATATCAGGTTGGTTCTTCATAGATATTGCATGGGAGTTCTAATGAAGTTATTGGCAGGAAAACACAACAAATCATATTTGGAGTCTGATGGAAGGTGGTTTGTTATCCTATATCCAGTCACTTGGCTTTCCCTCATCCCTCAGAAAGCAGAGGATTTTGAAGTTAGACAGAATAAGAGATTTTGTCAACCTCTGGTTGAGTTACCCTATGAGATCAGTGAATGATAGCAAACATAAGACTTGGATTCATCGACTTTCAAATGCTCATGATTCAGTAGCAGAAAAGTACAGTCTAATAAAGGAGGACCCGCTTCATTATCGTTTATTTGGAAGGACTTGTACCAATTGAAATGATGATGAAGAATGATAAAGAAGCAGGCACGATACCAGATGCCATGCTCAATTTAGTCACTGATCTTGCTGTTGATCAACTAGTTCAGACCTTACTTTCTGGGGATGAACATGTACGCAACATTCATCATGTCATGATTTCTACAAGAAATAATGCTGAACAAAGAAATATTCCAAAAAATGAAAGTAGTTTTCAAAGATGAAGAGGATATGCATCCTTTTAATGAAATCTTTCATGGAGTCTTGTGGGTTGATGTGTCGACGCGTCCAAGCCAAGTTAAAGTGGATGTACTTGTTGAACAACAAATTCGTCTGCAGCTTCAGCTTCCAAAGTTTAGTCAGACTAATCTCCACAAGATGATCAACAAGAAATGTTTAGTACTTCTGTTGGATCACGCTGAGAAAACTTTAGATCTGAGGAAAGTGAATTAACCTGCATGTTTAAATGAGGCAGTGATGGTGTTCATTACCATTAAAACTCAAAAGCAAGCAAATGATGAAAAGACAATGGTTAATGGCAATGGATCTAATAATCAATATAAAGGATGATCTGTTGCCATGGAAAGTATTTTGTCAGAATGTAGGCGATATACTTGTTTTTAGATCTAGTGCCATCCAAAAAATTGCTGTGCGTAGAGTTCAAGAATGTGGTGGCCATCTTTTGGCTATTGCCCTTGTGGTCAAGTCATTGAAGATTGAAGAAAGATACAAATGTCAAACTCTTGGAGCTTGCACTGAACAAATTGCGCTGCCTTGAACCCTTTTACAATTTGAATATGTTTCAGGGTGTAAACAAAGTTATGGTTACTGCATTCATAAATTTCATCTGGAATGATATCAATCAAACGCTAAAGAATTGCCTCATGAGCTGCCTTTTCATTCCTGATATCAGAACCAGGAAGTTTTCCAATGAATTGTTGGATCGTTGGATTTCTTATCGATTAGCGGATGGTTCCCAAGCTCAAGTAGATCAAGAAAAGATAGAAGTATCAATTTCGGGTCAACGCGCGAAACAAGGAGGTTAGCCTAACAACGAAACGCTGCCCCCAAAGGGAAATTACAACGAAACACCGCCTTTGTTAGAACTCTTAGCTGAAATTAGTTAAAGTTTAAGAATTGAATTTTAATTGATTTTATAGGAATTAAATTACAACTAAATCAAAATTATATATATAAAAATGATTATTAAAAAAAAAAAAACGAAACGAAGTTTCATGTAAGTTTCCACTTATGACTTAGGTCTAGCGTTCAATTATTGAGCAAGCACTCAAATTTAGAATTAGATGGAATGGATACAAGTGCTGGAGCTGACCAGAGCGGACGAGTCCTCTGATCTCTCGATCTCCACTCAACTGCCGGAGGCTTGGGCTTCATCAACTCAACAGGCAACATACACCTCATCTCATCGCTTCCTGCTAAATCTACGCACCTCCTGGTATGTATGACTTCGTCCTCTTCCATATTTCTCAAACAATAAATATCATTTATATTTGACTTCCCCCCTCTCTATTTAGGCATGTTGATTAGATCTTCTCAATCAGTTCAGTTTCCCAAAAAAAAAAAAAAAATCGACTGTTTCGATCTTACTTTTTAACCATTGTCTCAAAAGATATCAGAATTCATATTAAAAAAAAATGAATTATGCATATTAAATACAGGCTTAAGAAATAAGAACAACATAAAGTTATCACAAATTACTAATCTTCCATGAAAAATAAACGTGTAGATCATTTAGATTTACAGGAAGGCTTTTCTGATATTATATATGTAAATATATTCTACTATAAATGACAAGAACCTGTCGCTGAACTCTCAATTTGGATACATATAGCCAAAATCTCATACTCATTCCTTCCGTTAAAAAATATAAGATATTTTTAATTAAATCTCATCCTTAATAAAGTAGTTATCTACTTTTCAACTAATATTATCTTTCTATATTTACCCATATTAAACACCCTATAATAAATATAAAATCATTATCAATAGGGGCACTTTTAAAAAAGAGGTAATGATTACACCTCAAAAGCCCAAAAATGCCTTATATTTTTAACATCCAACTCTTTAAAAAATGCCTTACATTTTTGAATGGAGGAAGTATAAAAGATGAGACAGGCATACTCATTTTTTTTTAAATAATGATTTCAAAGTATAGAAAGTTTTTACAATATTTTGTAAGCTAAAAATGAATGAAATTAAAGATTAAATATGTAGTATAAAACTAGAAGATTAAAAGCATCTTAGCCGAAAGGTAATCTTTACTATTTGTTTTTATTGGATTGATTCCATTTAATAGTGTCTACTTGTCTTTACTGAAAAGTTTAAGCTCTAAATATTATATGTGCATTCAAGGACCCAAAAAAAAAAAAAATTATTTGTGCAATGAAGGTTCACATAGTGATGACGGAGGATGCTTGGTGATTTATTTACGGTATCAGTCACTCAATCCATATAATTTTTTGGGACTAAAACTGAAATCCAAATATTACTTAATGCTAATTGTCCATTGTATTAAAAATCATATCATACTAAACCTAAAATATTGTATGTGGGAATCAATCCATTAACCATCTAGGACATTAATCCGCATGTAACAAGTCAGAATCTTAGATGGAGACAAATAGAGAGGTTATCCAATGAATGGATTGATTATGTTCAAATATAATACCTTTGGATGACCTTAGTTTTTTTTTTCTTTTAGCCTTGTCGTCGCTTTCTTTTGCAGGAAACATTTTCTTTTTGGAGATTCAATGGAGGGTAGCGATGAGGAAATGAAAAATAACGATGGGAAAGCACATGCTGCCACCAAAATGGAGCCATTTGTAACATTTGATTTTCCCAAAGTAGAAAAAGTGGAGCCATTTGCGAAAGCAGAGCCACCCGACCTTCCCAGAATGGAAAACTCGGAGAGATTAGGGAAAACAGAGACGCTAGATTCTCCCAAGACAGAAACAAAAAATCTTTCTGAAGATTTTTCCAAAGCTGAAACGGTGAAGCAGTTTGGCCTTCCACTGACTGGATCGACGTTTGGAGATGAGAAGAGAGAGAGTTTGGCGCTGCAATTGAGATGGATAAGAGATTTCATCAGGCTGCTGTTGAGCTATCCCATGAGAACGATGCATGATAGCAAACTCAAGGCCTGGATTCGCGAAGCTTCAAATACGAAGAGACATTCTCTCGAAGATTTGAATCGCCTTCTTAGTCAAAATCCCCTTGCTTGCTTCCAAGGCCTTTTACCATTCTACATATTGGAGAGCGTGGAAAGAGGTCGGAATCCCATACATACTGTTATCACTAATTCCATCGGGACACCAGAAGACATTCTCACTTTATCTGCCAATCTTGCTGTGAATCAACTGGTTCAAACTTTACTGTCTCAGGATGATCCCGCACACGACATTCACCATGTCTTGTTCTCTACTAGAGATGCAGATGAAAAAAGACTAGTCGCCGAAAAGATAGAATCAGCCTTGAACGACCAAAACATTATGCATCGCCTACATGAGACCTTCTCTCGAGTCTTATTCATCGACGCCTCAGATTACTTAAGTCAGGATGCGGCGGAGGTCCATGTTCGACGACAGATAGCTCAACAACTTCATCTTCCAATAATAGATGGCAATGACGATTTGCTGATAACAAGTATTGAAAAAGAGATGTCAAGATAAAAGTACTTAGTGCTTCTGGTGGATGGAGTCGCCGAAGAGCCTTCAGATCCACGGAAAGTGGGTTTTCCCAAAGAAGAACTTGCGGGAGTTGTGGTGTGCATTACCAGTAAATCTTCGAAGAAGGCTAATAGTGAATTAACAATGGCACAAGATTTGAATATCAACACAGAGGATCACCTGTTGCCATGGGAGGTTTTCTGCCGAAATATTGGCACTCCGATTTTAGAATCGTCTTATTCCAAGAGATCAATGGCCGCGAGTATAGTTAAAGATTGCGGTGGCCATCTTCTTGCCGGAGTCATTGTAGCAAAGTCACTGAGGAACGCAAATTATGTTGAAGATTGGGAACGTGCTCTGCACAAATTGTGTTCGCTCCATCCTTCCTACGACGTTGGCATGTTTCAAGACCAGAGCAGTGTCATGCTTAAAGCATTCATAAACTTCATCTGGCATGATTTAAGCAAGACAAAAAAGTATTGTCTTACATCATGTTTATTCATTTCTAAATTTGGGAAGCCTGAAAATGAGTTGATCAATGATTGGATTTCTTCTCGATTAGTGGTTGCTGGAGAAGCAGAGCATAATTTGAGAGCGCTTGTGGACTGTTTTGCCTTGTTGCAATTAGAGGACACCAAGTCAAGGTATATTCAAATTCCACAAGACACACATGCTATCTTGCAACTATTAAACACTCAGAATCCTTTGTTCATGAAAAAATCTGAGTTCGGGTTGGTTGAACCACAAAATGGTGAGCTATGGCATAGTGCTATATATATTGATTTGGCGGACAATAAGTTGGCTGAGCTACCTTTGTCCCCGAATTGTCATGAACTCAAAGTGTTAAAGCTGAACAACAATGCTGACTTGACAAAAATCCCACCCCTTTTCTTCTTCAAAATGCCCCTACTTTGCATCTTGGATCTGTCCTACTCTAGTGTGAGAGAATTACCGAACTCTTTTTTTGAGTTGGAGCAACTTAGAGAACTCTACATGAAAGGTTGTGAACGCTTCATGAAACTATCCTCAGAGGTTGGAAAATTGAAGAACCTTGAAAGCCTTGATCTTGACAAGACTCAGATCATACATCTCCCACAAGAGATCCAAGAGTTGACCAATCTCCAAAGTTTGATTCTTTGTTTTTATGAGTACCATGGCAAGAAAAGCATGCAATATACGAGTTCAACAATTATTCCTTCTGGGGTGATTTCAAAACTTAAAGGGTTAAAACATTTAAGCATTGATGTGAACCCTGATGATGAGCGATGGCAAGAGAATTTACAAGTCATTTTACCAGAAGTCTCGGTATTAGAGTGCTTGCAAACCGTTAATTTGTACATTCCAGAACTTGAACTGTTGAATCTCATCCCTGCTCGCATTTTTAAGCTTGATTTCAGATTCATTGTTGGCAAACATATGTCACGGATCATTTCAAGTACACTACCCACAATTGAAGAAAAATTTAAACGAAGTGAGTGTAGCTTGAAGTTTGTGAAAGGTGTTGATGTCCCCTATGAAATAACAAGTGCTATTAGACATAGCAAAGCTTTGTTTTTAGATCGACACTTGTCTATCAAGGATCTCTCAATGTTTGGCAGGATGAATATAGAGCAATTACAAGTTTGTATGCTGGCTGAATGTAAAGAGATGCGAACGATTGTTGATGTAAGATGGTCTACTGTATTTGAGGATATATTTCCCCGTTTGTTGGTGTTGAGTGTATCGTACATGAAGAATCTGAGGAGCATTTGTGAAGGACGAGTTCATTCCAAGCACTGCTTTGGTATGTTGAAGACCTTAGAATTGTACAATTGTCCAAAGTTAACAACTGTTTTCACCTTGGATTTTCTGGGCAACCTTTCACTCTTGAAGGTTCTTCTACTCAAAGATTGTCCAAAAATAAGCGCTTTGATATCTTGCGGATCATTTGAACTGAGAGTTGGTACTTTCCTCCCTAAATTAAGAACAATGACACTTCTCCATCTTCCTGAACTGATCAGCATTTCCAATGGATTACACATGGGCCCATGTTTGGAAAACATAGGAGTCTATGATTGTCCAAAACTTCAGACTCTTTCGAAAATGGAATTGTCAAGTCAAAATTTGAAAGTCATCAACGGAGAAACCATGTGGTGGGAGGCATTAACATGGAGTGACGCAGAATGGGGAATAGTTGGCCGGCCATCTATTTTTGATTGCATCTTTTCTCCAATAGATAAACAGGCTGACATTATGAGTCAACTGAAGTTGGATGATGATATTGATGACAGTCCAGGTAAACCTCTTGATTTCAATTTTATCTGTTGTTTATTGCTACTATGTAGGTCATAACCTCATTAATCACTTCCTTAAATATATGATGAATTACCAATAATCCACATGGCAATTTCTATAATTTACTGTCTTTGTGAAATGTTATTGCAACCTGGGGGACAGCGGACCAGCCATTGCAGTGTTCCATTGGCAAGATCCCTGAGGACACGAGTCGTCGTATCACAACGACAGGCGGGGCAGTGTGTGAGCCATTACAGCCTTCTAGTGTCAAGGTCTCCAAGTACGGGAAGAGGTATATCTATGCGTAACTATATGCCATTTACCTTTGCTCGTAGACTTATAACAAACTAGTTGTATTTTCTAATATAATTCATGTATTATAGAAAGAACAAGGAGAAAACGACAATGATAACCAAGTCTCTTGACGATGGATACTTTTGGAGAAAATATGGTCAGAAATTAGTTCGTAATTCCAAATTTCCAAGGTACAACCGATTTTCAGATGGATAATCTACTTCACATCTATATATGACTTATTTTTGGTAAACTATATGTAAGCCTCTTTTCATTTATGCTACATGTGGTGCATACGCAGAAAGTATCTCATGTGCACTCATAGATGTGATGAGGGTTGTCAAGCTACCAGACAAGTGCAGAGAATTGACGACAAGCCTCACCTTTACAGTATCACTTATTCTGGGAAACACACTTGCACACAAGCCTCCGGTGTAACAAATTCCTCCATGAATAATCAGGTTGACGTGATGACTCAACTTGGGGTAGATGACACTGACGACAGTCCCGGTAAATCTGTCAATATTTGATTTTAATTCTACAAGTTCTTATTCTTAGTATGTGTGCCATAACTTACATTTACTTCCTTAATTATGCTGATTTTATATTAATGAGATGACAATTACCTAAAATAATTCACTGTCATTGTTAAATACCATCACAAGACGGGGGAATAGTGGATGAGCCATTACGACCTTCCAATGACGAGGTCTTCAAGGACAAAATGCATTATTGGAAGAGGTGTGTGGGTGTAACTGTTTGTATTCTATTTACCTCAGCTTGTAAGCTTATAACAACGTAGTTCTTATTTTCTAATACTGATCCTTAAATTACAGAGAAGTCACTTCTAGATGGACAAAGCAATCCAAGTCTCTTGACGATGGATACAGTTGGAGGAAATATGGCCAGAAAGGCTTTCTTGGAGCCAAATTTCCAAGGTGCCTCCACTTCTAATTCTCCAAGAATCATAATTTATTTCCCAATCAGATATTTTGGCTGATGCTACAAGTTTTCTATACACAGAGGATACTACAGATGCACTCACAAGGGTTGCCTAGCTTCCAAAGAGGTGCAGAGAGATGACGAGGAGCCTTTCCTTTACAATATCACCTATCGTGGCCGTCACACTTGCAGACAAACCTCTAGTGCAACAAATTCCTCCATGAATAATCAGGCTGACTTAAAGACACAACACGGGGTAGATGATAATGACGACTTTGATCCGGGTAATTCTGTATTTATTTTTGATTTAAAATTAGGGAAAATAGAACCTCCAAGTTCCTATATTTTGGGTTCTGGTTTCAGTGGTCAAGAGTTAAACTTTTTATGTCCCTGCCCTTGCACTTTAAAACAACGGTGACGTACTGACATCGGCCCTTTTGGTTTCAGAATCTTTGCGAGGAGTTTGATGACTTTCAGAGTCAAAAAAGTGGAGGATAACGAAAATGTGGCGGCTGCTGACCCGAGAATTTGGGGCAACACATAAAGTAAAAAGCACATTTAAAAATGATAAGGAAAAACTCAGCTATTTCTCGAATAGGGTTTGGTTCCCTTTTTTTTTTTTTTAATAACAAAGATTTGGATATAATCATAACTTTGGCGAAGTAAATTGGTTTGTGTTTGGACTTTGGAATAAATTTGAAACAGCTTTTACTTCTTTCTTTTGACCCATGAGCGCCGTTCAAATGAAAGCTCAAAATTTTAGCTTCTAGGGTCAATTTGGATTTCCATTAGAAAAATATTAATTATAAAAAGTTAAATAATATTATTGATTTTAAATAGAATTGATTATGTTATGTGCTATACAATTGATTGATAAAATTGATTTTAATTGAAATTAAAAAGAAAAATTGAAAAACAGAATTGAAAATCACGTAAAACTATGGTTTTATACAAATGTATCTAAACACCCATATTATATATTAAAATCAATTATGAATTTAAATTTATATTTTTTTAAAATATCTAAAAATTTATTATACATGTCAAAATTAATTATGAACTTAAAATTATAGTTTTTTTAGAAATATCCAAGCTTAGAAATATCCAAACACCCTTATACATGTTAAAGTTAATTATAAATCTAAAATTATAGCTATCTCATAAGTTACTATTACCTTTTTTTTAATTCAATTTTTCAATTATACTTTTCTAAAAATTAATCTAAAAATCAAATAAACTATTTTACAAATTATATTTTTAAATTTATAATTGATTTTGGCATGTATAGAGGTATTTGAATATTTTTAAGAAAACTATAATTTTGAATTTATAATTAATTTTGTCATATATAATGAGTGTTTAGATATTTTTAAAAAAATTTTGATTTTAAATTCATAATTGATTTTAATGTATAAGAAAGGTGTTTGGATATATATTTTTTTATAAAATCATGATTTTAACCTTTATAATTGATTAATTTGGTTATCAAATTTGCACAAGAGGTTCTCCGAACGTTAGATTGTTAGGAGAATAACAAACAATTGGTTTATAAATATCTAAATTCTATATTCTCTAACAAATTCTTGAGAAATTTGGCTTGCATTGGATCCAAGGACCACATATTGACAGTGTTGACTATAATTGTGATAATTGGGCTTGGATTGTCATGTTAACATAAATCATTAAATGGTCTTTAAACTGATCTCTTAAAGTGTAACGGTGTTTAAAACATGAATTTGTGCCCGTAGAATCATCGAACATCAAGATCTTAGTATGTCCTAATTTTCATAATTGACATATGTTTGGCAATTTACTTATCATGTTACGTAGTAATTGTTCTCTCTGTTAGCTCATTCTTTTTCTCTTACCATTTGCTTATTTATTTGTCTTCCTGTTAGTTCTGTTATCTTGTTCTAGATGTGGTAATTGGGCTATAATTTTTTTTTTATCAAAAAAGATAAATAGGTGATATGTCTTGCAAACCTTGCTAATATGTCTTATGACACTTGCCACGTCAGGACAGAGTTTAATCCTACCAAAGTGTCAAGAGACTCACAGGCAGTAGTCATCTATAATCAATAAACACTATAGAAAATTAAAACTCAGGCAGGCATCTATAATCTTGTCACTGTAGTACCATATTTTTTCTTCTGTTTTGTCTTTCAAATACATCAGATTGACAGGAACTACTTTTCTCGAAAGGAATGTCAAATTAATTTCTTGAAACATATACTTTTTTTTTGAAAAAAATTAGAATAAAATCCTGATATCTAATATATAAATGATATAGCTTTGTTGAATGTGCTGAATTTTTAATTATTTAGGTCCTGGTTTTAATCTTGGTATGGTTTTTCCCCCCAGAGTAGTTAGGAGTGTCATGCATGTTTCAGAATTCTAGTGTAATAAAATTATAGGCTTTTTTATTGCTTTAGACATCCATGGAACTTTTTGATCAACAACTTTTTCTCTCAAAACCTCTTGGTAACTGTGGGATAAGCATGAATATGTTGATATGAATTTTTTCCATCCTTTTTGTCAAGTTATTTTTTCTTTTGTGCTTTTTGTGTTCTGTTGCAAACTTGCAATGGTTTTCAGTTCAGTTAACTATTATGTAGTCTTTTAGTTATGTTAGGTTGCTATTTCAGTTAAATCAAGGTAATAGGCTCTTTCTGTCTTTCCTTTGCTTTTCAGCTCCGCACATGCATTGTGCCCTTTTGCCTAGTGAATGTATGTTCAATAACAGTGTGAAGGACATGAAATGAGATTGTGCCAAAGCCACAAAACGTAAGTGTAGGTAAAACTCTTGATGGGTGTGAATTAGGGACGGAACTACATGTATCGCAAGGGGGGCCATCCTCCCCCCCCCCCCCCTCCAAACCTTCTATCCTTGCCTTGTAATATATACCCCACTTCTCTCATCTCATTTTCAGATTTTTTCATGAATCGCAAACACTCTCTAAGTAACTCCTTTCCAATCAAAATAATCTCTATATTATATACATCTTTATAATAATATCATTATTAAATACTCTATATAAGTATCTTAATAATGATAATTAAAATTTCATTGCATAATTTTTTTCAAAATAAGTAATAAATAAAGTAAGGGTATAGTTAAAAAACAATTATTAAAAAAAATACAATGTCATATTTTGGCCCAAATAAGGCTTTTAAAAGATACTTTATATTGTGGTTTAGAGGGAGTACAATACTCCCTTCATTCTTTATTAAAGAGATCCTCATTTTGTCTTGTTCAAGTTAATTATAAAAAGCTATTAAAATTATAGGGGTAAAAGTGGATCATCATTTGATATTCAGATTGGGCATCTTAAATTTTTTTCAAAAAAGTTATGTAATTATACATGATTTGTTATCTAATATTTTTTTAACTCTGCAAACTTAATTTTTTAAAAATTCAGTATGATAAATCTTAAAAATTTTAAATTAATAATTTTGTTATCTAAAAGTTGGCCCCACCCTGAATAGTTAGGCTGGTTCTGCCCCTGGGTGTGATCCATTATGGAATATGGACTTAACCGGAACTGAGTTTCTTTTCTCATTAAAGTTTTTCAAGAAATCAAACAGACAGAATTCAGGTCTTCGGCAGTTTCTTCATTAATACATGGAAGCCATGCGTATGGCATAACTTTTATTTTTTCTTAATTGATGTCTTCTCTTTTCAAATTAAAATAACCTTTGCTCGTTGTTTCTATTCTTAAGTCTTACGCATATGATTCCAGCTATTAGTCTAGCTCACAATTCTTTAATTGGACCTTTCCGTTGAATTCTTTCACTAAGATTATGGGTTGCTGCAGATAAGAAGGCAAAAGGCAGGTCTCGAGTAGATTGTGATGCTGATAATCTTCAGCTTCAACAGTTGGAAGAAAAGGATGTAGTATCATCAGTAGCAACTGTTCTCTCTGATCTTTGTGGTTCTGGGGAATGGATGCCTATGGAGAAACTTCATACAGAGGTTAGTTCATAGTTCTGACCTTTTTTTTTATGCCTCTGCAATACATTATCCTTTAATGATTTTTGTTGAGTCGCAAGAATGGGAGAAGAACTCTCTTTTTTCCATTTTAATAGATGACACAAGAATCTCATCTTAAAGTTTGTATTTTCTACCCAATAATAGAACAGATCACCTTAGTCTCCAACCTCTATGCTTATGGTAATAATTTGCTTATGCATTGACATAATTTTCCATCTATACCGTGCCTGTGTTGTTTAAGCTAGAAGAAAGGTTTTGGTACATTGTTTGTCATGAAATTATTCTCGGCTTGCATTGGTAGTGGCAAAGTAGGTGCTATTTCAATTTATAGGAGCACATGAATTAGATGTATCTATTCAACAATTATCCCTTTACTGTTGGTTAAAAAAAACAATTATCTCTTTACAAACAAGATTAAAATAAGAGAGCTTTAAATCATCATTTCAAATATAAATATTTATTCAACAAAATTTTTTTTTTTAAATTTTATGATGATATTACGTGCAGCAGGCGTGTGTGTTCAAATTATCTCATGAAAGAGTAAATATGGTTTAAAAAAAAAAAGGAAAGAAGTATTATAATTTAAATTATCATTACAATTATAAAATATATTAATAAAAAATATATATTATTTAAATATCTACCAATAATTATTCCACTGTTGATTTGCCATTTATTATTTTCTTCCAAAATGTTTCTTTAAAATAATTATTTTTATCTCCAACTGTATTGTTAAATTATCAAGTTCTTGAGTTATTTTAAGATAAGATATCTTTTGCACGGGCACAATGAAAAAACTCAATTCCCTTTTTATAAGAATAATGAACAAAAGATGAAGAGAAGAGGAGAAACTATAATTTAAACAACGTTTACCTTGACGAAGATAATTGAGTGGGAATGATAACTTTACAACGAAGAACCAACAAAATATATAAGCTTGAATTTTAAAAAGATGTGATTATTTACTTTAATAAATTTAATATATTTTTTTGAATCAAATCAGAAAAAATATTTAAAATGTTAGTAATATTAATAATAAGAGTTTATTATTAAATATTTAGTGTATAAAAAATCTTCATGCCTTGATTTGATTGAAAATATATAAGATTAAGTATATAAATTTTTTTATATAAATAATCAAAGGAGTGAGATATGTGTTTATTAAAGATATAGATTATATATTTTATAAAGATAAAATTATATTCAAGCTTCACAGAAGGAAGTTTATCATCTAGAAATCTTATAAATTTTATAAAATATTTTTAAATCTTAAATCTTACACATTGATAACTTAATTAAAAAATATGATGATTAAGTAATGGTTATTTATAATTTATTATTACAAATTATCACCTTTTTTTATAAATTATAAATGATTGTTGTTCAGCTGTATTTTTACAGCGGATTTGTCAAGGGCGATTAATGGAAGGTGGAGTGTACGGACTATAGACGCTAGTAGTCTTCTCTTTCCTTCTCTGCTCCTATCAATCAGAATACTAGCATCTTTCTTTGGGGAAAACGATAATCACAATACAAGCATCCTTATTGTCCCCATCTTCGTGAGATGGAGAAAGAGAAAGCGAAGTAGGGTCAGACTTTTCGAAATAAATTCTATTTCTCAATATGCAAGAAATTATTTTCTCATTATATATTTTTTCTTAAAAAATTAAATTAGTCACAAATAT